ATCATAAATTGTAAATTTGTGCTATAATATGTATGGTTAGGCATTTAAAACTTTAGAAATAAAAAAAATCAACTGTCAATATATGCTAAGCTTAAAATAAACATCACTTTATTGTGTCATTTTAAAACTGAAAACAGTTTTTAAATTGGCAAATCACACAGCCTATGAAATTAATATTTAGATAAACACTTAAAAATATTTTCATGAGTTTTTTTTTTGTTTTGTTTTTTTCTGAAAGCAGAGTTTTTATAATGGCCTTGTGGAAGTGTTTTATAGTTATCCAATAGGTCGCATGAATCAATTTAGTTTAGTTCTTAGCTTGTATTCTTTTATTGATAGATTGCAATGATTTCATGATTTAAACAGCACACTGGTTCTATTTCTTGGCTGGAGACCAATTAAATAACCACTGATGCAAGCAGTTATTACCTGCTTAAAAGGAAATCTGCGGTTTCCTTATTTAAACTGCTGAGTTTTAATGCCCATCAAAAAGTCTGTTATTGCAATGAATAATTTAGCTATTTCAGTCTACTACACATCGTAATACCACAAGCTTGGGTTTAAAGTTGCGAAATATGCCTAACCTTTTTCACATCCCAAGGATCAGAATCATACTTGTTATAAGACAATAGTTATGCATAGTTACATTTACCATTTGAAATGATTTATGTTTAAGGGACAAACATTTCTAATAATTATTTAGCGAAGGAAGACTAAAGAATCAAATTTACCAAATATAGCTGGAGAAATGATTGAGCGTAGAGGCTTCAAAAGCAGGTCTACACGTACCTAAGTGGATATAAAAGGACCCTTTTAAAAAGATGAAAGGTCAATGGATTTGAAGAAGTAGGGGTGTCATTTCCTCTGTTTGTCCCTTGGTGGAGTTCTTGAGTCACTTTCTCCCTTCCCGTCAAATTGCTTTATATTTCCTTCCAGAACTGGCTATCCTGTTTACTGTATTTAACCTTTTTCTGGTATTATTGTGCATACAGCGTCTATAATAAATGAAAGTCCCCCTGAGATCATATCTCCGGCACCTACTTCTTTGCATTTTTACCCGTAAACTTTTGTTGTCGTTACTTAACTTCCTATCTTTGCTTGAGGCTTAAATTACATTACGGACCCCGAATGCTATTTTTCAGCTCACTGAAATTTCTTAACTGCAAAGCAGTTTTAAGTGAGCAAGGTTAGTAGGTAAATTAACACACACACACACACCCCTACAGAATTTGTAAGTTAAGGTAAGATATTTGGCACTTTGGCCACGCTTTTATTAAATGTTCAGTAGAATGGAATAGTATTTCTGCAATCAGTTTCATTTTTTAAATTTTGGTTTCAAAGGGACATTTCTATTTATTGTCCTTTAAAAAATAAAAAATAAAATCCCCTTCGTTCAGCATTCCCTTAAACATTTTGCTCCATACAAGCGATGATGTACCACTACTCTGATCAATGCAGGTTTTAAGACACTGATTTCGTTTTCTCCCTTCAGTTCTGGCCGCCAAAGCAGCAGCACCAGCAGCAGCACCAGCAACCGGCTCTTTAATTTATTGCAGCCGGTTACACTTTCGATCCCATTTCCTCCTGAACCCTTTCCTCTCAGGTTGAGAAGATAAATGCAGCCTCGGGGCTGAAAAGCCGGGCGGGGTTTGCGGGTGGGAGCGAAGCCGGATATCATATTCCCTGGGTGAGGTCTAGTATGGGGGTGGGGGTGGGGGTTAAGTCCCCCGGTTCCATTTAATGAAATTGCTGAGCACTTGTGACACTGGCTCTAAGATTGCGGAAATGGGGCGGGGGTGGGGGAAACCGCTTCTCGCCTTCATTCATCCTCCGCGCGGGCGGGAGGCTGGAGTAGGAGTGTCATTCTCTTGACAGGGGGCGGAAGAGGACTGGGAGCTCCGGCCGCGGCAAGGGCGCCCCGAGGTCTCCTCTCCCTCGCCCACACCCCACCCCGCTCATTCCGTATCCTTTCCCAAGAGCCGCGCCGCCAGGCTAAGCCACCGCGGTTCCTTGGCTGCAACGGCGGAAAGGTCGGAGTCGGGGACCAGTGGGGGAGGGAGGGAAGTCCGGAGGCTTCAGGGATCCAGCAGTCTGGGGAAGCTGTTCTCCATGCCGCACACGTCGGACCCATTTCCCACGCTGGCTTGGCGCGGCGGCGGAGTTGGTAGGGATGAGAGTGGGGCGGGCGGGCTGGAGCCGACCTCCCGCTCGCAATGAGAAAGCCACTCCACTGTGAAGGACGCGCTGCGCCCCGGGTCACCTGGGAAGAAATTTGCTGCGCGCTGGAGAAAAGACGCCCACTCTTTCCCCCTCGCCAGTGTGCGCCTGGAGCGCGCGCGCTGGGGAGGTGGGTGAATGGAGGTGCGGAGGGGTTTGTTCAAGTTTATGGTTGGTGAAGAATGTGGGAGTGCACCATGTCTCTGTCCACGCGGCTGCCTGAAGTTTGCAAAATCAGTAAAGGCGGCGAGGGGAGTGAGTGCACTGCACCATATTGCTGCGCATCGGAATGCACCGGTGCAAGGCCGCGGAATAGCAACGGCTTCTTTCTTTCTACTAGGATCCTGGAAAGAAAAAAAAAAAGGCGACTGCGTGTCGAGGGAGACAGGCATTCTGATAAACCAGAGTTTGCCAAATATAAAGGGGATTTGGCGTTACAGACACTTAGCCGGCCGCGAAGGTGCTGCGACGCCCGCTCCTCCCCACCCCCGGTTCCAGACTGCGGTGGTGCGCACTGAGTCTGCGCGCGGGGTTTTTCTCGCTGATGCTGCAGATATAGAGCTGAGAGGCTCCGGTGGCGGCGAAGGGGGTGGGGGTGGGAGGGGAAGGCCTGATTCCCGACTTGGCCGCGGAGGAGGAGCCGCTACCCCCTGAGTGTTGCTGCTTTAGCAGACTGGAAAATACTCGCCAGCTCCCTGGCACATACCACACACACGTCCACCTTCGCGCTTCGCTATCCCCCGTAGGGAGAGCTTGGAAATCTCTGCCGCTTCTCTCCCCATTCCTGCTGGCTGCGCCCTCCCAAACAACCGCGCGCTACAGCTGCTTGTAGACTTTATTGGTGTTTGTCTGGTTTAAATCATTTTGCCTCCTCACACAGATCTCGTAAAGACAGAGTACCCACTATGGACGGATTTTTTTTTTTCTTTTCGCTTTAAATTTTCCTGTAAGGGGAGGCCCTTCAATGCCTATAGCTAGGGCAGAGGAGCTAAGGACCGACCACATCCCAGCAGCAGCCCCTTTTCTCTTTTGATATGGTAAGAATTCTCCCCAAATATCTCCTGCCCGCTTCAGCCCACTTAATCTTGGCTGGGCCACCTCATTTAATCGCCCCTGAAATAAATGAAGAGTAAAGAGCTACAGTTCAGAAAACAACCGGAACTGAGATCTGATGAGGCGGGCTGCGGTGGACACGATTGAATCCCGGGGAAGCCTTGCATGGGGGACTACCATGTAAGACCAGGTGGCACAAAGTCAAAACAAGGAAAGGAAAGGAGCTAGGGACACTTCAGCACACAAAGTTGCCATTAAAGTTTATTTCCCTTTTATCCAGATAGGTGACGCTACACTTTGCCAGTTACTACAGGCTGCAGGTTTTTGCTCCGAAAATAATATCAAGGCTTCCAACATGTGTTTATTCCCCAGGCGCGCGCACACACATGGTCTACCCCGTAAGCAAGCATGATGACAGGACTGCCAAGCATTTAAACAAAGGCAAGCACCACCCCACCCACTCCCAATCCTAGTCCACCGAAGTCCACCCTCCCCAAAAAAGGATCTCTCTCCCGCTTTCTCTGGAGTTTTACGTTCTCTCTTAAACACTGCAGCCCATCATGGTTTCTCAGAACACCAGCGTGGCTCCGTGGGCACGCAGGATCCCCCAAGCAAAGACAACTATCCCCTAACCAAGATGCTAAATCGCAAACTGGAGTCGCTCCTTGGGGTGGGGAATAGGCTCTGAGAAGAGGGAGAGGAAGAAGGGGAAACGTTTCCTGACCCGCTCCGGCCCTCTCACACACTTACTCGGCGTTAGAGAGGAAGAAATTTACCAGCCCTAGGGAGTGAAGGCAAGTCCCCCGGAGAAGGCAGTGGCTGCACTCGCTGGGGACCTGGGGGGTGGGGAGTTTTGGCTTAGGGGGACTAAGTATAGTGCACACTAGAGTGGCCCGCGGAGCTGAAGCCAGGCTTTCCTGAGCGCGGCGGCTGACTAGTACTCCCTCCTGCCTCCCCGCCACCCGCCCGACACTCCTCCCTCCCTCTCTGCTAGTGTGTGGTTTCCGAGCCTCGGCTGCTATCGCCGCCGCCGCTGCAGCAGCGTCAGCGACAAGCTTGAGCCTCTAGCAGCAACCACCACTTTGGGCAAACTTGCGCGTTTCCGGCTTGCGGCTAGTGAGCGGGAGCTTCCTACTTGCCATTCAGTGTCTCGGAGCTGTGGCATCTCGAGGGGCGGCGGGAGTACCCGCACCAGACTCTCCCAGACGCGAAAGGGGACGAGACAACTGCGGAATTCACCCGCCGTGCCAGGGCACTTCCGAGGCAACAACCGACTGGCACTTTTTCTCCCTTTGGCAAACTGTGTGTGTGTGTGTGTGTGTGTGTGTGTGTGTGTGTTTTCCCCCAAGCTACTTGGCAGCTGTCTCTGACTCCACCTCCCCCTCCAACCCCTCCCCAATGCCTTTGGCTTTTCTTTGGAAATCCGGACAGAATTGGGCATCTTTGTTAATTGCCGTTGGGGGAGTCCGGCCAGGGGCTTTCGCTCCGACAATGTCGCCTGCGCACAGAGCCTGTTTTGCTCACCTTTGAACTGCAAAGGGATCAAGTTCAGCTCGAGTTGCCTGCATTGGGACTGGGGGAAGGAAACCGACCGTGCAGTAGAGAGAGTGGGAGAAGGGGAAAGGGGAAAGGAGAGGAGGGAGGAGGAGGAGTGAGGAGAGGGAGGGAGGGAGGGGAGGGATCGAGAGAGCGGGGAGAGAGAGAGAGGCTGCAATCTCCTCCCTGAATCGCGCACAACGCTGCAGATCCCAGTGCTCCGACATGCGGGCCGAATGCAGGTGAGGAAAGGCACGGACTCTGCGGCTGCGAACCCAAACTTGGGCACAGCGCGGTGCGCGCCGCTCAGCCTTCGCCTCCGTGGGCGAACTGCTGCTGCGGTTTCAGCAGGCGGCTTCGTGACTAATGACCTTGCGCAGAGTTGTTAAGAAAAAAGAGAAAAGCAGCTTTCGGGGTGAGAAGGGACTGACTCTCTGGGCATCTCTGAAGATGGTCGGGGCTGCTCTTCGGCGCGTGGGGGGTACCCGGACGCGGACCGCACTGTAACGCGAGTGGTCTACGCTGCTCGGTGCCCGAAGAGATCTGACGGGTGTTTTTCATTCTCCGTGTGTTGACTGGCTCCCCCGCTGCTTGAGCAGAGTCGGAGTTGAGACTGGCTTGTTGCTGACCCAAGCGCCTCGTGGAGGAAGCGACTCACATTTGCCTGGGCAGCCGGAGCAGAAGCTGGGTCTGGAGTGAGTGACTGAAACGTGAATTGGACTCAACTCCAGTAGCAGCAAAGAAGAGCAGGGTTAGCAGGCAGGAGAGGCTGCAGGCTCGCTCCCCGCGGCTTCCCGGCTCCACCGCCCGCCTGCTGGAGCGGTACTGGCCCCATCCGACAGAGCCAGGACGGGAGCCCGGGATCCTCCGCCCGCTGCGAGGATGACTCCGGGGGGGCGCGGAGCCCGCGGCGCGCAGTGTCCCGTGAACTGTGAGTACTGCGACTGAACGGCAGCCAGCGAGCGGGCGATTAGCACCCATTGCATGAATTATGAAACAATAACTTTCCGAAGAAGCAGGAGAAAAAAAAGCAGGATCTATCACTGGTTTCCCCTGGTCGACTCTACACGCTGCTCTTGCCCCCTCCCTACTCTCCCTCTGGCTTCTTCCTTTCCCGGAGAGGGGAGAGGGTTGGGAGGAGGGCAGGCGGCCGGCCCCGGAGGAGGGGGGCGCCGAGGGGGCTGTGGTTAGAAAGAGCAGTAGCAGCAGCAGCAGGAGAAGATGCTGAGGATGCGGACCACGGGATGGGCGCGCGGCTGGTGCCTGGGCTGCTGTCTCCTCTTGCCGCTTTCGCTCAGCCTGGCTGCCGCCAAGCAACTCCTTCGGTACCGACTGGCCGAGGAGGGCCCCGCAGACGTCCGCATCGGTAACGTCGCCTCGGACCTGGGCATCGTGACCGGTTCGGGTGAGGTGACTTTCAGCCTCGAGTCAGGCTCGGAGTACCTGAAGATCGACAACCTCACGGGAGAGCTGAGCACGAGTGAGCGGCGCATCGACCGCGAGAAGCTGCCCCAGTGTCAGATGATCTTCGACGAAAACGAGTGCTTCCTGGACTTCGAGGTGTCCGTGATCGGGCCCTCGCAGAGCTGGGTGGACCTGTTCGAGGGTCGAGTCATCGTGCTGGACATCAACGACAACACGCCCACCTTCCCTTCGCCGGTGCTCACCCTCACGGTGGAGGAGAACAGGCCGGTGGGCACTCTGTACCTGCTGCCCACCGCCACCGACCGCGACTTCGGCCGCAACGGCATCGAGCGCTACGAGCTGCTCCAGGAGCCCGGGGGAGGCGGCGGCGAAGGTCGGCGCGCCGGGCCTGCCGACAGCGCCCCCTACCCCGGGGGCGGCGGGAACGGCGCGAGCGGCGGCGGCTCCAAGCGGCGGCTGGACGCACCAGAGGGTGGCGGCGAGCCCAGCCCTGGCGGCCGCAGCAGCGTGTTCGAACTGCAGGTGGCTGACACCCCGGATGGCGAGAAGCAGCCGCAGCTGATCGTGAAGGGAGCGCTGGACCGTGAGCAGCGCGACTCCTATGAGCTGACCCTGAGGGTGCGCGACGGTGGCGACCCGCCCCGCTCCTCACAGGCCATCCTGCGGGTGCTCATCACCGACGTGAACGACAACAGCCCCCACTTCGAGAAGAGCGTGTATGAAGCTGACCTGGCGGAGAACAGCGCCCCGGGGACCCCCATCCTGCAGCTGCGTGCCACTGACCTAGACGTGGGGGTCAACGGGCAGATCGAGTATGTGTTCGGGGCGGCTACTGAGTCCGTGAGGCGGCTGCTGCGCCTGGACGAGACGTCCGGCTGGCTCAGTGTCCTGCACCGAATAGACCGCGAGGAGGTGAACCAGCTGCGCTTCACCGTCATGGCCCGCGACCGCGGGCAGCCCCCCAAGACCGACAAGGCCACCGTGGTCCTCATCATCAAGGATGAGAACGACAACGTGCCGTCCATTGAAATCCGAAAGATTGGGCGTATCCCACTCAAGGACGGGGTGGCCAACGTGGCCGAGGACGTTCTCGTCGACACCCCCATCGCCCTGGTGCAGGTGTCCGACCGAGACCAAGGCGAGAACGGGGTAGTCACCTGCACCGTGGTGGGAGACGTGCCCTTCCAGCTCAAGCCAGCCAGCGACACGGAGGGCGACCAGAACAAGAAAAAATACTTCCTGCACACCTCGGCCCCTCTGGACTATGAGACCACCCGGGAGTTTAACGTGGTCATAGTGGCAGTGGACTCCGGCAGTCCCAGCCTCTCCAGCAACAACTCTCTGATTGTCAAGGTGGGAGACACCAACGACAACCCGCCTGTCTTCGGCCAGTCTGTGGTGGAGGTTTACTTTCCTGAGAACAACATCCCTGGTGAAAGGGTGGCCACCGTGCTGGCGACTGACGCCGACAGCGGGAAAAACGCGGAGATAGCTTACTCGCTGGATTCCTCTGTGATGGGGATTTTTGCCATCGATCCCGATTCTGGGGACATCCTTGTCAATACTGTGCTGGACCGCGAGCAGACTGACAGGTATGAGTTTAAAGTTAACGCCAAAGACAAAGGCATCCCGGTGCTGCAGGGCAGCACCACAGTGATCGTGCAGGTGGCTGACAAGAATGACAATGACCCTAAGTTTATGCAGGACGTCTTTACCTTTTATGTGAAAGAAAACTTGCAGCCCAACAGCCCCGTAGGTATGGTCACGGTGATGGATGCTGACAAGGGGCGCAATGCAGAGATGAGCCTGTACATAGAGGAGAACAGTAATATTTTTTCCATTGAAAATGACACGGGAACTATTTACTCCACAATGTCTTTTGACCGGGAACATCAGACCACATATACATTCAGAGTCAAGGCTGTGGACGGAGGAGATCCTCCCAGATCAGCCACAGCCACAGTCTCTCTCTTTGTTATGGATGAAAATGACAATGCTCCCACAGTTACCCTTCCCAGAAACATTTCCTACACTTTACTGCCACCTTCAAGTAATGTCAGGACAGTGGTAGCTACAGTGTTGGCAACAGACAGTGATGATGGCATCAATGCAGATCTTAACTACAGCATTGTGGGAGGGAATCCCTTCAAGCTATTTGAGATTGATTCCACCAGTGGTGTGGTTTCCTTAGTGGGAAAACTCACCCAAAAGCATTATGGCTTGCACAGGTTGGTGGTGCAAGTGAATGACAGTGGGCAGCCTTCCCAGTCCACCACGGCTCTGGTGCATGTGTTTGTCAATGAAAGTGTCTCTAATGCAACTGTGATTGACTCCCAGATAGCCAGAAGTTTGCACACCCCACTCACCCAAGATATAGCTGGTGACCCAAGCTATGAAATTAGCAAACAGAGACTCAGTATTGTCATTGGAGTGGTTGCTGGAATTATGACAGTGATTCTAATCATCTTAATTGTAGTGATGGCAAGGTACTGCCGGTCCAAAAATAAAAATGGTTATGAGGCTGGCAAAAAAGATCACGAAGACTTTTTTACACCCCAACAGCATGACAAATCTAAAAAGCCTAAAAAGGACAAGAAAAACAAAAAGTCTAAGCAGCCACTCTACAGCAGCATTGTCACTGTAGAAGCTTCTAAACCAAATGGACAGAGGTATGATAGTGTCAATGAGAAGCTGTCGGACAGCCCCAGCATGGGCAGATACCGATCAGTTAATGGTGGGCCTGGGAGTCCTGACCTGGCCAGGCATTACAAATCTAGTTCCCCATTGCCTACTGTCCAGCTTCACCCCCAATCACCAACTGCAGGAAAAAAACACCAGGCCGTACAAGATCTACCACCAGCCAACACATTTGTGGGAGCAGGAGACAACATTTCAATTGGATCAGATCACTGCTCTGAATACAGCTGTCAGACCAATAACAAGTACAGCAAACAGGTAAGGTGCATCTCAGAAATATTTAAATATCCCAGAGAAGCCTAATAACTCTGAGACAGAGCATCTTCTGCAAAGTTGGGTCTTCTATCTTTTAAAAGCTGTGATTGAAAATTTTAATAGCAGGAATTTAATGTTAACTCATACATCATTAATTTGGTAGAGGCCATCTATGCAAGTTACACCACTGTATTTTGCAAGTTAGACCAATGTTTACTAAGCTACTAAAGAAAATATTCATAGTAGGCAGTGTTTTGTACCTCTCTTTGTACATGACAGCCCCAATTCATCCTACATTTTGTGTTTCCAGAACAAATATGCATATATTGTTTGATGGTTTGCTTTAACTAAACAATTATTTTCTACTAAGTGAAACATTGCATCCAGAGAGAATTTCTAAAGTTACTACTGGTGTCTGTGTAACTTGGACACTATAAGTTTTAGGTGTGTTACACATTATATGACATTTTACAGATAAAAAGATGCTGAGTCACGCAAATGTTGTACCAAGTCTGAGATACAGAAGTATTGACTTTGTTTAAAAATATCTAGTGATATGCAAATGGAGCGCAAAACCACATTTTTAGTACTTCTATATCTATAACAGTTAGACTTCTCTGAGGTTATATAATCAACATTTGCATTCTCCACGTTTGGTGTTCAAAGTTTATAAGCGAAAGTACATTGTATGAACTACTTATTTAAGCCAAGCAGCAAAGATGTTCATGTTTGATGCACGGTGTGCAAGAATATTTTGGTATGCATTGTGCTATACTGAGACTGTAAAGGTTATTCGGAATATCTGGTACAGTTGTTTCTCAGTGAAATGTGGAAACAGAAAAACAATAGTGCATTTGAGGTTAACTTTATAAAATATAAAATGTATTTTTGAACCTTTTTCTTGTGTGATATATGTAAAACTCACAAAGTTTACTTTTTACACCCACCAAAGTTTGACACACAGCAAATAAAATTTTTTGGAAACTGCTGTGTCTAATGCTGTAGCAACTCTACTAATAAAATCTACTAAGAAATCACATATTTTTTTAACTTCAGGACTCCTCTCAAGAAATACATTTGTGACTATCAGTATCAAATAATAGTTTTTTCTATTAGATATGCTTTGCATGTGGAATGTGTGATCTGAGAAGACTTAAGGCCAAGGTAAAAGTTATTTTACAGACTCATAAAATATAGCTAGCTACTTGGATAAGGAGAATCAGAGTTGATATGCTTTTATATCCAATAAGCAAAGCAATCCAAGAAAACACAGGTTTGAACTACCTTGCATTAAATGGCTTTTGAAAATAACGTCTTTTGATGTATGTGAGCTCGAGTTATTTCTTTCTTTTACAGTGAAATTTGACCAGAGGAAAGTTTGTATCTGTTGTGTTATTGCTTTACCTGGAGTTGGAATCAGATTTTTGTTTTGTTTCTGGTGCTTTTATCAGTTTTCTAAGCAAGAACAATTGCAGTTAAAAGAATAGTACTTTTTAAAAATTACTTATATTATAAACACCCACAAATACATTGAGGTCTATAGACATGTCCCTAGATAATGGTAATTTGTAATTCAAAAGCCGGTGAAGAGATCTTTCTGCAGAATATTTACTACCCAGCTGTCATCCTAATAGGACTTTTTTTCTTATGGCTGAATGGCATTTGCATTCTAAATGGTGGAATCTTCAACTTTTGAGTTGACATATCCCTGGCAGATTTATAGATTTTTTTTTTTTTTTTAATGTAACCAACTCATAAGTTCTGTGCTGTCACTTAAGCTTTGGCTCATCAGATGGGGTTAACTCTATATTCTTGAATATTTAAAACAGCCTATATCAATACTGTGGTGGCATCCTGTTTGAAAGGCAAAGTGATATCCTTATAAATAAACTAATGTATGGTGTTAAACTCTCAGCTGAGCAAAGAAGTTCACATACCCTACAAAGCCATTGGAATAAATCATGCAGTTTGCAGGAAGTGAGTTTGGAAAAATTGCATGTATTTAGGTATTCAACAGATGTATAAAGTTTTAACCACAATGAATAGCTGACCTAAAATGAAATAAAGGCAATGGAATAGATTCCCCTTAATGTAATTAGTAATAGTAATTGATACACTTCATCTCAATATTGCTGTCAGGGGACAGGGATCCATTTATCAAGTTACATTCTGTTTAGACATCTGACTTAATAAAACAAGATCTTTTTTTTTTTTGTTCTGATTTTTGTTTGTATCATAAATAGATTATGTTCTCTTCATATTTAAAAACATATATACTTAGTTTTTACATAGTGCCAAAATGTATTTTCTTTTATTAAACCTGACATAAAATAAAATTTAAAAATGAATACAAAGTTTTCTTACAATTTCCTCCTTTGGTATTGAACCAAAGGTTCGCCATCTTTTCATTCCTTGGGGCAGGGGTTAATTAAAAATCGGATATTTCCTCTGACTTAAAGTCCCCATTGTATTTATAATTTTCCTAAATTGCTTTATCATAGTTCTTTACTTGATATTATGGAAGTAATGTCTGCTACAGTGTTCTTTTCTTCATGAGAATCAGACTGTTTTGAAGTGGTGCTTCTAAGTCCACTTAATGGTTACATTATAATAAATTAAACAACTTTGTAGAATAAAAGTTTGTAAATAATGCCCCCTTTACTCCATTTTTGGTTTGTGTTAACAGCTCCCAGAGAGTTCACAGCTCCCAGAGACATTCAAATGAAGCTTCTATAGTTACTCTTGGGTAGAAGCTAGGAGATGTGTGTTGCAGAATTGCTGGAATTATTTATAAAATTCATACATTAAAGAAACTGATAATGTAACTCCAGGTTTTCCAAGTTTAGATCTTTGTAGTTGAAGCCCTTGGTTTATAATAATGTGTCTAGTTGAGTAAAATTTGGACCATAGACAACATTATTGAGATTAAATTGACCACCTTTCCATTTCATTCTTCCTTTGCTTGATAAACCTGGTCTTGGTGGTTATTAAAGTTTTATGACCTGGAAGTATGTCTGCGTTTTTAATTTGTAAAATAAAGGCAGAAGCATTTTATGTTTCTATTTGTTTTTAAATCTCCAGTTTTTTACAGTGTATTTTTTCAGTTTTTTTTAAAAATTAACATAATTCCAAAATATTAATAGACAAATATAAAAGTATAGTTACCCTTTTGCTTATTATGTTCAAGTCTTATTGAGCTTGTCCTGGCCATGCTGTTATTTAGATAATGCATTGGCAAGTAAAAATTTTATTGTATTTAGTAAATGGAAAGTAAGGTACTTTATTTTTTGGCAAGAGTATAGAGGATACAGCTTCAGTAAACATTAATTTAAAAATCCATTTGTAGCTAATGCTGAAATACTCAAGAAAAATGTATATTAACTCCAGTGACAGTTTTCCTTGTGCAAGGAAATGCTGCATGTAGTCTGAATAATGTTCTCTCTAATTGATCAAATTGTGCTTAGTGTTCATTGTATACTTAGTAAAAAATATTCCAGAGATTATTTTTTAAAATTACTTCGATTTGGGAAGCAAACGAATGACGTGACTTGCCATCATCTATTAGAATTCCGAGCGCTGAGAAAACTAAATATCAATGTGTGTGTGTATATTTCACCATATATATATTATAGTGGAAATGCATCTGCAGAGTGATGCTAACCACAGCTTTCAGTTTTAATTCTAGAAGCATAATTTCTACAATATCGTTCTTCTATCTGTAACCACGGACACTTTCCAAGAGGCACAATGCATCTTCATAGGGTGGGATTTCTGTTACCTTTGGCTTGGTACAGCAGGCAAGAAGCTAATAACTGATTAAGGCGAGGCTGTCCATAGTCAGGAGGCATCTACTAAGGCAAATTACCTGGATCTCTGGATGAAACAAGGAAAGTGTCATCACTGATTTGATCCGCAATGAACATGCAAATTTTTATGGAAGTCCAGGTGTGACAATTTGAACCTTATTCTAAACTTATATTAAGTCAATTAATGACTTAGACAGAACCCCAAAGTCAATTGAAAGATTTTCAGGTAAATCATCACCTGGATAAATATAACCAAATTGTTCTTTCTTGTTCTCTTTCTGCCTTTGAGTAATTACATATTTCATACACAGAAAAGTGTGCTCATGGTATGTATGGAAATACCTCGCACTCTCTCCACCTTCTCCCACACAAACACATACAGATATATTCATGTAAACCAATTATGATGCCATTCTTCTTTTCTTTCACTGGTATTCCTACAATGACTTGTGGAAAATATTTGAACTAAGCACATACAAAATCGAAATAAAATATATCATAATCAACTGCTTAATGTTGGTACCTAAAATCACTAGTCATCACATTTCAAAATTAAAGACATCAGATAAGCCTATTCTTTCATTTTATAGAAGAGAAAACTGAGGCCGAGTACAAAAAAAGTAATTTGATTTAATTTTATAATCACAAGATAAGCGAGGAGATGATGTGGACGAGAGTCCAAGTCATGAAATGCAGAACTCATTGTTCTACAAAAAAAAATTGAATTTTTGTAGCTTTCTCTGTATATATTTCAATAGTGACAAAAACTGGGATTTGTTTATGTTGGTATAACTGTATGTATTTGGCTATGTAGACTGACATTTTAAAAATAGAATATAGTTCTGCTTTAGACTCTACCTTTCATTTGTAAAATTATCGGGCAAATTGTAATTAAAATTTTATAGATATTTAAAAGAAATGGGTATTTCTTTTCCCCTTATGAAAGATGGCAATTAATGATCTACATTAAAGGAACTTAACAGTTTAGAACATATATTCAACAAGCTAATTGACAGGGTTTATAATTTTAGCACAACAGTGACAATACCTTAAGGTAGTACCTATCTAGCATTTAGTATATCCTCAATAAAAACATCTTTGTAATGGAAATTAATAAAAGCTTTCTATACATTATGTATGAAACTTTGTATGCATTCTATTTGGGATAGTCTTTGAACTTTTCCATCAACATTGATGGTTCCTTTTGGCTTCTATACTCCTTTTCATTCTGCCAACTTGGCTCGTGCACTTTATCTTAGTAGCATCCTTAACATAAGGGTGGAGCAAAAGTAGGTTTACAATTGTGGGAACACAAAACAGAGTTTATTCTTGTATTATTATTTATTAATTATTGTATTATCTTCCATCCGAACAACAGTAAACCTACTTTTGCCCCACCCTGTACAATTGTGAGCTAAGTTTTCCTTTAAATTTGTTTTCTAGCAAGTTTTTATTTTATTTTTTTTGGTACATGCCCGTAGCGGGAACTGAACCCAGGTTCTCTGGTCCGCAGGCCGACATTCCAACCGCTGGGCCGAACTGGCCAAGGCTGTTTTCTCCCAAGTTTTTAGGTTAATGTGACATTTTGTTATTTTTCAATCAAACTCCATTTTTGTTAGGCAGTTAACAAATCTAGTGTATTAGAGTCTAAATTTACATATTAATAAATATAAATGATTGCACTTATTAATTTCAAAGTGAAATCTGCACTATTTTCTCTCTTGCACTATTTTCAAAACTAAATATAATGTGACAAAACCATTGCTTTGCCATAGCCACCAAAGCTATTAGACATTTTAACATCTTTCCTTCTTCCCCACTGGGAAAGGGTGGTGATGGAGGTTATGTAGGAAATTC